GCCACTGCACTCCAGTCTGGGCGACAGAGTGAGACTCCAACTCAAAAAAAAAGGACAGAAAATTTTGTCTGCATTGTTCACAGCTGTATTCTCAGCACCTATGACAGTGCTTGCCATAGAATAAATACCTATCAGATATCTATCAAGTAAAAATCTGGGCTGGGCGCAGTGGCTCATGCCAGTAATCCCAACACTTTGGGAGGCAGAGGCAGGCGGATTGCTTAAACCCAGGAGTCCAAGACCAGCCTAGGCAACACAGCAGAACCCTGCATCTAAAAAAATTAAAAATAAAACCCAGCTTAGTGGCATGCACCTGTAGTCCCAGCTACTCGGGATGCTGAGATGGAAGGACCACCTGAGCCCAGGTGGTTGAGGCTGCCGTGAGCTGTGATCATCATGGTTATGCCACTGCACTCAGGCAACAGAGGAAGACCTTGACTCAAAAAAAAAAAAAATCTGCAGAGGGGAAAGGACCCCATGAGGAGATGGGGGCTCAGGGAGGTGTCAGGGTTCAGGGAAGGAGTGTGGATTCAGTCAGGAGGATAAAACTGGGCCAGGGGATGGAAGCCACAGATGAGACGGTCTCAGAGAAGGTGACAGGGTCTGGGGAGGGGAGAGGGACTCATGAGGCCGTCTCTATGGATGCCGGGTATGCTGGCAACCTCATCTCTCAGGTAAGCCGCTCCGTTCCCTGGAACAGGAGAGCCAGGGTTAAACTCCTAGTTCTCTCTTACCAACAATGTGACCTTGAGTAAATTACCCTCTCTGCCTCTCTTCCCTCATCTGTAAATGGTGACAGAGCAGGACCTACCTCTTAGGGTCGCTGTGAGGATTAAATTAGTTCAGATATGCACAACCTTGTGAACAGTGTCTGGCACCTAAATAAGCCCTTGATAAATGATAACTACTGTATCATCATTATTAATAACTCTTTTTTTTTTAGTTGGAGTCTTACTGTGTCACCCAGGCTGGAATGCAGTGGCACATCCATGGCCACTGCAGCCTCAACCTACTGGGCTCAGGTGACCCTTCCACCTCTGCCTTCCAAGTAGCTGAACTACAGGCACGCACCACCGCGCCGGCCAATTTTATGATTTATGGTAGAGATGAGGTTTCGCCAAGTTGGCCAGGCTGGTCTTGAATCCGTGGGCTCAGGCCATCCTCTCACCTCAGCCTCCCAAGGTGCTGGGATAATAGGCATGAGCCACTGCACCCAGCCTTATTAATAACTCTTTGACGTAGATTTAAAATGGCCCATGGGTGGTGGCTCTCAATGTTACCTCCTCTTCCTTGTTCTTGTCAAGCTGCTTCCTAGAACCCTTGGTGCCCTTCCTTCCCCCCAGTCTCAGGTCTTAGGAAAAAGGAGACAGAAAAGCAAAGGAGAAAGGTTCCAGCTCCCCCATACTGGAGTTGCCCAGGGGGCAGATGGAAATGCCTGCAATACAGCCTACAGCCACCAGGTGGCAAGTTCTGCCCACTCCCCAACGAGGCGGCAGAACTTCAACCAGTCTCGAGGAATGGTGCTTCTTCCAGAAGCTCATCGGTGGGGACTGAATTCTACCACCCCAGGAGGTAGGGTAGAGCCTGAGCCCAAGAGGGACAAGCCTGAGAAGTCAGGGTCAGCTGTTTCTGGCTGCCAGCCTGGGCTTTGTCTGCCGGGAACTACGCCTCTCCAGGAGAATGCTTCCCCTCTCGGAGATATGAGCTGACCCCCCAACGCTCCTTAGGTGGGTTCACCAGCTCCACTTCGCTCCTTGCTGAGAAGCCTCTACGGACACACACACCCCACCTCCTGATGCCTCCCAGGAGGAAAACTGGGAAGCGGGATGGCCGGGAAACATCCTGCTCACTGTTTAACACAATCTCAATTCAGGGTTTTTTCCAAAACAAAATATAAAGAGCTGTGCAGTTCGGAGGTAGGGAGGGGAGGGAGGAAGTTGCTACTGTGGCACGAAGGAGAAAGTGCTGAAGCAGGGGCCACTGAAGCCACCTCCCCTAGGAAGCCCTCCGTGACCTTCCAGAGTACCCTGCTCAGAGCTCCCCAGGCTGGAATATGCGGCCCCACCTCGCACACTTCCAGGTATTGTGACTTATCTCCTCCTCAGACCGTGCCTGTCCTGTCTCCTTCCCTCCTCTGGACAGCCCATGCCCCCACCCTGGTGCACGCTCACCGTTTGTGAATCTTCTCCTCCAGGTTCTCTGCACAGAAGGCTTTGACCTCGTAGTCCACACCGCAGGCCTGAGGGATAGGGGGGAGTCACGAACCACAGGGCCTTGGGGAGGCAGGGTCCCCAGGGCTTGGCCAACCCACTCTCTCAGGGTGTCAGGAACATCTCCCACAGCCCCACCCTCCTCTGTCTGACTCCTCAGCCCCAGTGCTGGGCCGCCTCCTCTGAGGCTGCCTCCTCCATCTGATAACACCAGGCACCTCAAACCACCCTATCAAGCTCTGCTCTTTGGACTCCTGCCTCAGTCGGGGTGGCCATGCAACCAGGCAGCTGCCCAGAAAACAGCAACAGGCGCCTGAGCAGACCAGTCAGTCTCACCCGACTTCCCAACACGAAGAGGCACATCCTGTTCTCTCCGCTTTGCAGACGAGGAAAGGGGCTCAGAGATCTGGAGTCTGGGATGCTCAAGGTATCATCTCTCTCTGAGTCTCAGTTTCCCCACCTGTGAAACGGCGATGCCTACACCTCCACACAAGGCCACCATGGGTTGTGCAGAACCTGTTGGTCCTGGTGCAGCCAACACCGGGGCCGGTGAGAGTGACCCAGGAGAGCCTTTGAATGGGGAGTGAGGCTAACCCCGGATCTGCAGCCCTGTCTGAAAAGAGACTGGTTGCGCCAGGTGGGACCAGCCCAGCCTAGACATAAGGACCCACCAGGGAGGGTGCTCCTGTGTGTCCAACACTCCTAAGGAGCAAGCCAGGGACCCGAGGACATAAAAGTTCTGGACCCAGAGAGATTTTCCCTTGGGGTGGCTGACCCACCTTCCCTGTGTCTTCGGGCCCTGGCTGCAATGTCACAGAGCATGGGAGGTTCGGGGGAATCTGTTGAGAAGAAGACGGAATGAGCTCCCTGTCACATCCACCACTGTCCTTCCCCATGTCTTGCACCCCTCCACTCCCACACACTCATCAGACCAGGGGCCCCCCGAGGATGCTCTGTATCTCTCTCATCAGACCAGGGGCCCCCAAGGACAGACTGTGTCTCCCCCATCAGACTAGAGGTCCCGTGGACAGACTGTGTCTCTGATGACTAGGGGTCCCAGGGACAGGCTATGTCTCCCCCATCAGACTAGAGGCCCCAAGGACAGTCTGTGTCTTTCCCATCAGACCAAGGGCCCCCAAGGATAGTGTCTCTCCCATCAGATTAGGAGCCCTGAGGACTGACCATGTCTCCCCCATCAGAGTAGGGGTCTCAGGGACAGGCCATGTCTCACCTGTCAGACTAAGGGCCTCTGAGGACAGGCTGTGTCTCCCCCACCAGACTAGGGGCCCCAGAGGACAGCAGAGGACAGGCTGTGTCTCCCCCATCAGACCAGGGACCCCTGAGGACAAGTTGTGTCTCCTCCATCAGACTATGGCAAGCCATTCCCCACACTGGAACAGAGGCCCCCTCCAGTAAAGCCAAGCATCGAGTGCTTTTTATCTAAAGGGCTTAGCCCAGCCCAGTCCTTACAGAAATGGCTGGAAAAGATCCTTCTACGATGTCTACTATGGTAGGCAGAATAATGGTCCCCCAAAGATGTCCACATCCTAATCTCCCAAACCTGGGACTATGTTACCCTACATGACAAAAATGACTTTGCACAGTCAAGAACTTTGAGATAGGAGAGGATCCAGGATTATCTTGGTGGGCCCAAATAATCACAAGGGTCCTTAAAAGTAGAAACAGAGCTGGGCTCGGTGGCTCAGCCTTTGGGAGGCTGAGGTGAGTGGATTGCCTGAGTCCACGGGTTCAAGACCCGCCTGGGCAACTTG